TCATCTTACTGTGTTTAAGAACCATAGTCGGAAGTTTTCTAAAATTGTTGTCCTTATTTTTCTGACCAATTTTATCAAACCCTGACTCTGATCTTAATTCTACGAGTATTATATGAAGTCGCTTATAGGATAAATGAGTCCGCAAAATCGTAGTACCTATGCGCGCATTATGAATGACATTAGAATAATGAAAGTAAGAATTTTACTATATTGATTTCTTATACTAAATTAAAAAAAGTTAAAGAGATTAACAACTTTTTAACTTTTTTTTCCTGTAAGTCGCTTTGAATTTATTATAGTATACAATTTTATGCAAACTACAAGTCGTTCAATTTATCAAGTTTTTAAACGTTTTGCATATATTATCCAGTCGGTTTTATTACAGAAGGTAATTATTGTTACATTGTCGCAACATTTATTACGGAAGGTAATCTAGGCATAAATATGTGGAAGTCGCCTCCAATCCTCGTCGCCGCGGGACGCCATCGCTTCAATATGCTCCTATTACGCAATATAATGCTTCTGTTCATCGTAATTATGTACATTACTATGGAAGTAATAAAAATCGAAATGTTTTCTAGTGGGAACATAACTTAGATTATTTATTTGTGTTCACTTTTTCGTTCCATTCAACTTTTTTAGTGTTTATTTGAAGTTTTCGTAACGGATATCACTATGAGCAAACCTGCAATCTAAAGTAGTACAAGTGAGTTTGAGTACGTATAAAATATGCCAACATACGGAAAGCACGGTAAATCCTTCCTTGCCCTAAAATCCTCTGATAAGAAATAGAAGGCTTGTCCCCAAGGCTCGAACGAAATAATTTAATTATTCATTTATATAATCGAGTAATAAAAGCAAATATTTTTAATGAGCTTAAAAACAAACTACTGCTTGACTGCTAGGGAGTATTTATTCTACAGCAGTTAAAGCATATAACGTGAAGGCACCAATTATGGACAGTTTAAGAATTTGGTCTTACATTTTTAATCACTATTCATCTATTTGCAAAGATACAATGTTATGACTATTATCAAATTGTAGACCAATAAACATGCTTTATTACACGTACATATATAATTTATATAGTGTTATTGTTTCTGATGAAATAAAGAAAAACTCAAAAAGGCACAAAAACTCCATTTATGGACGGCACTTCTCCAGTGATGGATACTCAATGTTGGACATGTATCCCATGATGGACACCCAATGTTGGAAGGTTATTAAATTCACCAGTTTAAAATGAAATTCTTTGAAAAATTTTAAAGTTTATTAACAAATATAAGAAGGAAACCTCAACTTTATAAAAAACAGTTTTGCAAATTAAAAAGTACTATTATTTATTTATCACAAATCAAAATAACAAATCAAGTTAAAGCAACTACAGCAGAAACATTTTACTTATTAGGGTCAAAAAAAGCTTGAGGTATTCTTGTAAATAGAAGTCTCAAAAGAGCAGTTAACAACTTAGGTGTCTACTCTTACATACTACACAGTCTTTATTCTTTTTCTTTATAATAACCACCTTATTTAATAATCACAACTTGAGAGATCAAATTTAACCCTGTTTTACCCATTAATTAGAAAAACGGGTTAAAAAATATACACTAAATATAAATAGAAAAATCTTATTCTAATAAGTCTCAAAATCCAGGACATTTATATGTTAGGCAAAATTCCCATCAAACAATAGACTAAAAAATAAATGAAATAAAAATCTTTAAATCCACAGTCTTAAAATCTAGGTCATATAAATGTCAGGCAAAAACTTCTCCATTTCTGGTACTTTGTAAAGGCCTCTGTTATTATGTTTGATAGGAGGATTTATAACTTCGACTATATCAGTAGTTTTATACCAAATTTTATCTGGCCTTTCTGGCCACTTAAAAGTGTTCCCATTAGAAAGTACCATTGTACTTATTTCAAAGAGACCTCGTTCCTTATTTTCAATCTTTCCGGGGAAATATTCACCCTCATACATAATGATGACAAAAGAACCCTTGTTGATATCCTTTTTAGCATTTTTAACTTTATTAGAATGTGCTATTTGAGTCAAAGGCAACTCTGATTCAGAATTACTATCTTCCGTAATAGATCGTTTTCTCTTCCTTTGTACTGAAATCTTCTTTTTATCCATTGCTTTACGTTCATTTTGTTTTTCCAGTATTTCTCCTTGATAGGTATTTGATTCAGTCTCTTCGTTCCATTCGCTTTCGCCACTTTCAATATATTCTATTTCAGCTTCTGTATCTTCAGATGATGATATTTCAGGCATCTTTGGTTTTTTAGATTTTGTTTTACCCTTCTTTTCCTTGGCAAGTTTTTCTTTGATATTTTTTTTCTCGATTCTCTGCTTAGCTTTCAATTCCTTTTCTTCTAAAATTCTTTTTTTTTCGGCGGCTTTTTTTTCATGGTATTCTTGCCATGCTTTGCTCGTTACAGCTGATGGTAATTTTTCTTTTTTCTTCTTAGTTTTCTTAGTACTTTCATTGTCAGGCCAGAAAAGACATTTTTTGAATGGCGATGGAACTGTGACACCTAGCGCATTACTTATTGTGTTTTTTGCAGGAGTTTTTGCAGCCAAAGAAAGGGATCCATCAACCCTGGCTAACGTATCTGACGTTGTAATTTCGATTGAAGAAGTCACTGTACTACCTATCGTAACCCTTGTGTCTTCGATAGGTATTTTTTCAGTCTCTTGAGACGGCATTTCTGACACTGATGGCACTGTGCTACCCAGAATATCGCTTGTTGTATCATTATGGGATTTCGCATCAGATATGGCTTCATCAACTTTTGATGGCGTATTTGGCGTTGGTATGAATGCCACTGTTTCAGAGACACCATCTAGTGCACTGGTTGACGGTGCTATGAGATCAAGTGCACTGCTTACTTTGCCGTTGTCATCGAAGTCTGTTGGCATAACATTTTCTTGCATAATACACGTGTTATTATATAATACGTTATCTGAAGTCGGTGAAGATTCCCTATTTAATGCAGCAGGTGCGGAACTAGATTCTAGCGAAATTGACATTTGCTTGTTGTGTGCCCACACTATATAGAGATTCAAATCTTCATCTAATGCCATGTTTTCGAGAACATTTCTTCCTTCATAATAAAGACTGTTAAATAGGTCTAACTTTTCTTGACCAAAATGTTTTGTAATTTCGGTTTCTAAAAATTGTAAAAAATGGCTTCTTTCTTCATTTTGGTTTTCATTTGCTAGATCAGAAACAGTATTCCGCTTTGTGAGTTTTGACTTATCAATATATTGTGGACCATATGGATGCAGACCACCGCCCCTAAATCCATTTTTAATGCAGTCCGTCGTTATATTCTTTAACGCTTTTTGAAAGACGGGAGCAAAGTTTTCCTTTTTCAACTTGTTTCCCGAATTTTCCATTTTCCACTGGATAACTGCTTTACGATAATATACTTTCAGCGGTCTGAAAAGAGATATGTCCATAGGCTGCAGAATGTGGGTCGAGTTAGGGTACAAGGCTATAATTTCTATGTCATTTTCAGAGCAGAACTTGGACAGATGAAGTGTAAGATGCGATCTATGACCATCCACAAAAAACAAAATTGGTTTCTGGATGCCTTTTACAATCAACCAAGGATTAAAAATTGTAGTCACAAACTCGTAGAAGGTCTCACCAGTCATCCAACCGGTCTCCGACTTTCCTATGCCCCATTCTCCTGGCACACTGCTAGAAATTCTGTCCGGGACTCGATCATAGGCGAAAACAATCATGGGTGGTGCTAGTGTACCCGCAGCATTTGCAGTCAACAAGACGGTTAAATTTTCTTTTTCATCGCCACTTGCCGCATAAACATGCTTTTCCCCTCGTCTAACAAGCACTCGTCCAGGTTTTGGCGCAAGAAAAAAAGGCGCTCTCATCTGCATTAAAAACTCGGCTTGGCTCTTTCAGAGCTTCAAGCAATCCCTTTTCGGCCAAATATTCATCCACTTCTTTGAACCAGTTGTTTATTTGCTCTTCTGTCACTTCATTGCGTGCTGCACTGAGGTTTTCGGCCGTTCTTTCTGCTAATATCGGATGTCTTTTAATAAAAGAAGAAAACCATTTCTTCCCTGGCCTGTTTGCTGTAAAAGGAGTAGATTTACGTTGCACCGTAACTATTCGCTGGACGCTATCTAAAAGTTGTTCTCTAGTGATAGGAAATCGTCTTTCGGCACTTGCTATTGCCCATTCACAAGCAAATCTTCTTCTACTGTTGTCAAGACTGTACTAGGCCCCATAGTGCATACCATGGGGCTCTTACCGGAGATTTTATTGTGGAGAGTAATTCTCGGCACTCCAAATCGCTTAGCTGCTGCAGATACTGATTGTCCTTCCTTTCGCACTGCCTCAATGGCGTGAGCCATTTGTTCAGGCTTATAATCTTTTTTTAGGCGCCATCTAACCAAACAAGAAATCAAATTAGATAGTTCTTACAATCTACGAGCGCGTGGTCCTAGGTCGTGTGAAGATGTATCTGTAGGTATACATATAACTAAAAATAAAGGTAACACGCGCTTATGAATTGCAAAAAACCATACAATTATAACATGGTGTCCATTATTGGTAAACGTGCTTTGATTATTATTTTTTAAAGACATATGATATCAGGCGATGTTCAAGAGGTAATACTATTTATAATTTACTCTTCAGTACAATTAAATAACCATGGACACGTGTCCATAAATGTGTTTTATGTCCATTAATGGATCCAGTAATGGACACCCCCCCTAAAATACTTTTAAATTATCGAGTGACATAACCTCTTTCTCGAATATATGCCTAATACTATAAGATAAACATAAAATCAAAGCGTGTCCATATATCTATCTAAAAAAGGACATTGTGAACAAAAACAATGACTAACCTGCTTAACGATTCCTTTAAGAAATCCGGATAAAATTTGAAAAACTCCAGAGCACAATTTCTTCAACTCGCCATTTTGAAACAAAATGGCCGAAATTAATTTTCTCTGTCAATATGACAGAGGGATGTTGGCTGTCTATGTCTAAAGTGCTGCCATTTCTAGAAAACCATTTCTACCCTTATTATAAGGTTGATAAGTTTTTTTCGTCCATTATTGGTGCCATGTCCATTACCGGCGCCACAACGTTAGTTTTGTACGTGGTAGAGCCAAGCAGCTAGCTATATTATTGTTGTAGCACGAATGGCCGACCCATTCGACCGGGGAAGAGCCACGCTCTCACAGTATACCAGCGTAAAATAGCAGCTTAATGCTGCTGTATTTTGTATGGTGAATTTAGAGAACCGGAGACCCGTTTTACTGAAATCGAGGTTCCATCTTAGTTCTCGGGGTGACAACGAATCTGCATTTTGATTCTTCATCAAGGTTAAATGTAGTAGATGTCTATGGGCCACAGCAACCACTTACCACCAGGTGAACTGTGTGCTCGTTTGTCACCCAAATTAAAAAAAAAACTATCACCCTCGGGATACTGTTTTTCATCCTGAGAAAAATAGCCACTTTTAGGGTAATTTTATTCAACGATCTTCTACTTTTAGAGAGGCGTTTGCTCAGAAATAAATTATTTATGCGGATCTGACGATAAGAATTTTAAAGCATGAAACTGGCTTATACTGTACACTTCGCGATGTTTAAAATGTTTTGTTATTAGGATGTTGCTGCTCGAGGTCTGGACGTTCCACGCGTCGATCTTGTGCTTCAGTATTGCGCTCCTGCGTCCGCTACGGACTATGTACACAGGTAATTATTATCTGGTAATTTACACTTTCTCTTGTTCCGAAATGTTTGATTTTGTGAAAAAAAGTGAAAAAATTGCACTTGTCTATTTATTTATTAAGTACCTGGATGACCGGAATCGAAAATTGTTTCGAAAATCGTGTTTTTTGAAAATTACATCGAGATACAAATTAGATACTGAATGAATTATGAATAATATTTTTGATCTTACTGACATAATAGAAAAAACTGAACTGGATATCCCATTTGAGCTATTATAATCATTAACGCAGCGCCAAAACTTGCCTTCTTATTCTAATGACATTGTAACAGTTTTTCATTGCCTGAAAACACGGATAAAACGGCCTTTTCTAAAAATGAATCCTAGTTAGATCGATTTATTGCCCCGGATACCCCGTGGGGTGCCAGCCTGGATCCGTTTGGAAATTTATGAAAATCATGGAGCCGTTTCCGAGATTATAATTATATATATATACAAGAACTGCTCATTTAAAGGTATAGGATTAAAATGCTTAATTATAATCCCACTTGGTGATAAGTGGTGATGAAGCCCCAGGTGGTAAATCGCGCTATTTCAGCGCTACAAATGTGTATTCACTGTTATACATATCTATATGTCCTTACATTTTAAAAACTAAGATGGATACATATCCATCCTCCATTTAATTACATTAAAGTGACAAACTAACTAACAGTCCATCTGTTGGTAAGTGGCCTCTGAGGACTAAGAGGCATACCAGTCTCAGCCTGTTATTATATGGACTGGCCATACTCTTTAGATTAGAAAACAACAATATATGCAATCGCGTGGATACTCGGAAACGCGTGTCCGTTTATCCACCCCAAACGTGTTGGATAATTTGAATTCACTTTTATTTGTTTTCCGACTTTTCACCCTAAGTACAGTTTAACACATACTTTAATTAATAATAAATTTTTAATAAATACTAACCTTATCAAAAAACTTATTACGTATTTCTGTTACCGTTACCGTTAGAGCCTATTAAAGTCGAAATTACATATTGCATTTAAATCAAAGTAAATTTCTTCGTTTTAAATAATATTATTGCGTAATTTATAAATTCTGCAATATGTCCAGGCAATTTCTAACTCTAATTTCATTATTTAGTTCTTAGACGTAATTTGTATCTGCATTAATTCGCCACTTTTAATGTACTTTTGCAATCGTTTTTTTTAATTTCTTTGCTCACGGATATGTTAGCGAATAATTGGGTGTTTTTGCAAGCATTTCAAAAACGGTACGATTGGAAGTTTGTCTTGAACTTTATTTTAAATTATTTTATTCCAAGAATTTTAATAAATCTGTTATCCTTGAGGTGCTCCTTTTATTTCAATGTTGACCTTTCAAACAAGAAGTATGTATATAATTTATAGGTAATGTGTACTGTACAGCCGAGTGGGAAAGTCAGAAGAAAATAGTATATACGAATTCCGAATGCGCCCCAAACGGGGTGGATAGACGGATACACGTTTCCGAGCATCCACCCTAGGGTGGATTCTGTAGGGTGGATAAACGGAATAACCCGTTAAAATTCGTTGCTACGCAGACCAAGCCTTAAACGAGAACGGTGTTTTACCACTTATTTTAAAAGCATAGATTTGTAAACAATGGAACTGTATGTTTTGTTAACCATTTTGATGATTTTTCATTAAATAGATTTATACTTCATAAATGGTCCCTTAAAATTAAAAAAAATCCATCTATTAGGGTGGCAAAATATTGGATGAAGTTCTTAAAGAAATTATTTAGAACGCATTAAGATTGCGATATTCCTTAGTTCACTCAAAATAGTAAAAAAATCTTTAAATGAAATCGGTGCTAATCATATTGTATAGAATAATTCTAGTCCCGAAGAATGTAAAATTATTTTATTGTTATTAGTTGTTTGAAGTCGTCTTTTATTTTTTTGAATTGTGAAGTTCGCCAACACGCATCGGGGCAGCGCGGCGGTTAATTCCTTGTCCTAAAACCCTCACAGAAATGAGAGGAGGCCTGTGCCCAGCTGTGGGATGTATGTAAGCTGTAACTGTAACTTTAACCTCTGATGTCCAGTATGAAATTTTTCTTCTTTTAATCAATAATGCATTTTCAGTGACTATCAATGGTCTGGTAAGCTTGTTAATAAATAATAGGGTTACTATTGTTCTAGGAAATCATATTGTTTGCGCTTATTCTAGGTTTCATTTCATTTTAGTTTTTCATTCAAGATCGTTTCCATATTCGATTTTCTAAAAATAGCATTGATAGCATACTATCTATTATTAACAAAATATCTCGATAAAATAATGAGCAATCATTAATTGGTAGCTTTATTCGATATTAGATGATAAAAAAAGAATTTCGTTCGCAGTTTTTTTTTTCATTTTATTAGACAGTACGCTTAGGAGTCTACCTGGGTAGAGGTAGCAGTGTAATCACTGTTGTGTTCTCGTTTGTTTGTTTGTTAAAGATCCGGCATAGTTATTGTGAGCTATGAAATTCTTTCTTAACTAATTGACATAAAATGCAACTGTTGTCTTCTAGAGCACTGTTTGAGTTTGCAGCCTCATGACCGTGCTTACTATTGGGTGAGCTAAGAAGTCTGATTTTTCTGCTAAAAAGAATGTACTAAACTATTCCATCTATTTATATTTACTCATTATATGATTCCCTCATGAATGACTTTAAATTGGGGTATGTATTCCTTGTGTAACTAGGGTGGGACGCACAGGTCGAGCGGCGCAGGTTGGCGCTGCTATCTTGATGCTGCTTCCAAGCGAGGCTGAGTTTGTAAGGCATTTGGAACAAAAACGTATCAGGTTTGTTCTTAATTAACTCTTAATCTAACTTTAAATTTATTGAAAATGTAAATGCTATTTAATAGCACTAAACAACGTTTATTTTAAATGTGATATTAGAAATAATGTCCTTTTCATATATTTTTTATTTTGTTTAATACTGTATATCTTGTTTTTGATATAGAATATGGTTGACAAACGAGCACACAATCTACTCGATGGTAAGTGGATGCTGAGGCCCATAGATCTACATTTATCCTCGATTAGGATTCATAATGCAGATGCGTCGTCACCCCATGGTATTCTGTGAGAGCGTGCTCATTCCCCGGTCGAACCGACCGTGCTACAACCATAATATAGCTGCAGCGTGGCTCTACCACGTTAATATCGTTTTTACATTGAAATAATACTAGTTTTTACGGAATTTATCGCGTATATTTTAACTTTTTAAATACCCGACGTTTCGAACGCTTTACAGCACTCATGGTCACGGGCAGGACTGAGATGTTCAACGTCCATATGTCATAGTTAACTGCGGTTACCATAGATTAAAATTTAACTTTTGTTAAATTTACTGTATAACTTTTAATTAAAACTTCAACATCTCAGTCCTGCCCGTGACCATGAGTGCTGTAAAGCGTTCGAAACGTCGGGTATTTAAAAAGTTAAAATATACGCGATAAATTCCGTAAAAACTAATTTATTTCAATGTGTAGTGTTCGCGTAAATATAAGAAATCATTATCGTTTTTACAATTGATATTTTGAAATGTCTACTTAATTTTTTTATAATCACTATATTGATATGAAAAATTTACAGTGTTATTGATATGCAATACAACCAAGATTGTGTTGAAACATTAATAATTAAAAGGATACGGATTAAAATTAACAACGGCGTTGGATCTACTATTAATGTCGACATTTGGAGATTCACGAGTGAATCATTAAGCACTGGTTAAGTGAATACACTAGATCAGGCATGGCGAACCAATGACACGCGACACAATATTTTGTGCACGCCACCGATCACAAAGTTCACTATGAAGCATTATATTACAAACGATCGCTATTGATCCTAGTTACATTGTGGACTACTTTTGCTAATGACGCATAGTTTCATCGTAATCATCATCATTACAGCCCTTCACAAGTCCATACCTCCCCCAAAGAATGCGTAGTACTTTTACACACAGCATAATAGTCAATTCCATTGACACAACTGTATTTAAAAATTAATTTGTGTTATATTTAGGATTTTACAACCCCAATATAAGTTATTTGTCATTTAATCTGCAACAACAGAAGTCACACTAATGTTACTTTAATTTGAATTACGCGTAACATTTATTATTACACATGGCAAAATGTATTTGTCTCAACTCAAAACTTTTTATTTTTTGTAGTAAATAAAGAGTTTTGAGTTGATAATATTTAGTACTATTATTTTCCCCATAATCATGAAGTCAAAATTATTTTACGGCACGTCTGTTACATAATTAAACATCTCTTTAGAAAAATTGCACGTTAATATACAAAGATTCGCCACCCCTGCACTAGATCATTTCTTGATTATGACGGTAAATATTTGGTTATGTATACTCATATGTTAATAAATCACATAGAATATTTTTCAATTGAGACGCCTTTGTTACGTGCGTTACAATAAACTTATAGGCAACTTTTATAAAAATTTAAATTCACCTAAAATACAATGTAAAATTAAAAACTTATCATTTCATTTCGTTCAGTCGTTTTTAAGTTATTTTGAAAACATCTTATTTTGTTAACACGGGCTAATGGACGACGACTGTAAAAGCTGTAAGCGCTAGGCGGTAAAGACCATCTTCTTTCGCTTCGTGTTCGAAGTGTGCAAAAATTAGGTTGTTCATAACTCAACCTATGTAGATTACGTAATGTAACTTAGTATACTGCAGTATATAAGTTTACTCAGTATATTGTAGGATTTTAAGTCTACAGCAAGCCCTAGGACTTTCCGCGTACATGCGAACTGGCAAGCATTAATTAGCAGATTTCTACTTACCACGCTTTGCAGGCATGATAAGCTCGAAGACCGATACATTCGCTTCTATTAATGCTGAATGGTGATTGTGGTTCTGCATTTTTATATGGAGTTTACACCATCAATCAAAGGCCGACAGTTCATTAGTGAACAGGGTATATATACTGCGTGTAGACGAAATGCATTTGGGGAAAATGTGGCATAGATTTTATATTATCCACTTACCGCCACATAATCACAGGTCGCCTTGTGTAGATTTTTTTTATAAGAAAAGGGTGACAAGCGAGCACACAGTCCACCTGATGGTTAGTGGTTGCTGTGGCCCACAGACATCTACATCCATCCTCGTTTGCGAATCAAAATGAAGATGCGTTGTCAGCCTTGAGGACTAAGATGGAATGCGTCTTTTCCAGTAAAAAGGGTCTCCAGTTCTCTACACTCACCATACGAAACACAGCAGCATTAAGCTGCTATTTGACGCTGGTATACTGTGAGATGTCTATACAATTAATATAGCTGCAGCATGGCTTTACCACGTAAATATGATAAGATGCGTTTGGGAAAAATGCTCACATATACGTCATATATTACTTCTTAAAAAATATCCACACACGTAGGCTTCGGCAGTCCGACGAGTCGCAGTCACTGGAAGCTCTGCGCACGATGGCACCCGCGGCTAACAATGCAGCGCGAGCCGCCATAGCTGTGCAAACCCGACTCGAACACTTTGCTCACAGCCACCGGGACTGGCTCGCGCGAGCCAGCAGAGGTAAGATGCGCTCAGCTTTGAACAAATAGGAAGGGGAGAAAGGGGCGGGTGATTAATATTTTCAATTAGCAACAAGGAAAAAGGGGTAAGAGTTCGCTGTAAATTTCATCGTTGTCCAGAAACCCGAGTTGGAATGCCCCCCGGACCACTATTTTTATAGAACTAAGGTGACAAGCGAGCACACAGTCCACCTGATGGTAAGTGGATGCTGCGGCCTATAGACATGTATTCTCACCCCTGAGGACTAAGATGGAATGCCTCTCACCATACGCATTAAGCTTCTATTTTACGCTGATATTCTGTGAGAGCGTTGTTATACCGCGTTGGAGCCGACCTATTCATGCTGCAGCCATAATATAGCAGCAAAATGGCTCTACCACGTGTAAAACTTAAATCATCAGCATCATTACATCTCTTTACAAGTACACTGCTAAACATAGGCCTCCCCTAAAGAATACCACAAAGCACAGTCTTGGGCCATCTGCATCCATCGACTTCCTGCATGTCTTACTAGGTCGTAACTCGCCGTACACTTCGCCTACCGGTACGAGGCTGCCACTCGACAAACTTTCTTCCCCATCGGTTGTTGGTTCTTCGAGTATGGCCGGCCCATTCCACTGCAGCTTACTAATCCGTTGGGCTATGTCGGTCATACCGGTTCTACTGCGGATATCCTCATTTCTAAGTTTATCACGCAGATAAACCCCTAGCATAGCCCTGTCCATAGCTCGCCGAGCGACCTTAAACTTCCTCATACGGTCTGCAGTGGGGGACCGCGCCTCAGATCCAAAAGTTATCACTGGCAACACGCACTGGTTGTACAATCTCGTTATCAAGTTTTAAGGTATACCTGACGAGAAGGTGTGTCGTAATCTCCCGAACGCTGCCCAACCGAGTTGAATCCGTCTGTTGACCTCTCGACCGAAGTTGGACTTACGTAGTCGGATTATTTATCCCAGGTGAACATATTCGTCGACACGGCACAACGGTATAACTGATACACATGCCTTGGCGGCATAAGAAAAGCGATCACTTCATTTCCTTCCGTCCTTTACCTCAAGACTATCGATAGATGGTGGCGTATGGTATAACCTTCTCGTTTCATCATATCATTACAGTCTATCATAGATCACTGCTGAACATTGTCCTGACAATGCTTGGAGGGCACGTTAGTAACCGCAGTTTTGTGATTAAAACGACACCACTGCTCATTTCCTTGTCGTTTTCTTCTGTCGTCTATCACGACACCCACGGGACGATATTGTATAGAGGATATATTGTATATTCTTATATCGCCACTACATTAATAATCCACATCTTTTACGCCATGTTAAAATATCTAGACTGGCGACAAGGAGCACCATCAAAGGTGCGAGACGTTTGATACTGCGTTTACCAATCCGTTTGTCAAGTGGGACAATAATGGCAAGTCCAAAAATGGGAAATCATCAAGTGTAGTCGAAAAAGAAATCGTAATAATCGGCGAATAAAGCTGATTTTCCCTTTTAACCTCCCTTGAAGAAATACCAGTTTAGAAATCGTTTTGTTTCCGCTAGCGTACACATCCTGGGTCCGCTTCTACTCCGGCTATCCGCGTGAAGTACGAATGTGGCTGGACGCAAGGCAGCTTCATCTTGGACACGCAGCAAAGGCCTTCGCTTTGAGAGAAACTCCCGCGGCGTTAGCAAGAAGAGCCAAATCCGATCCTAATTTTAAGAAGGAGAGGCCGCTGAATCGTCTCACAGTTCATGAGGAGGAAGAGAAAAAACGCCCAGGGTAAGTTGAGTTTGATCTAAATCTACGGCCATTTCTAGTCAAATATATCTTTTTAGATCGCTGCAGTTGGGCTGTTTTTACAATTACTTAATGGTGTATTTTTCAGTTTTCCTAAGATAAAGCCTGGACTCTTCGGTCACAGAGTAATGAATAAACAGAGCTCCATGCACACAGCGAGCGAATTTGATAGCGGCCTGCCTCCAGTGGATACATATAACCAGAAGAAAAAGAACAAAAATAAGCGAAGTAAATAACGTGTGTAATGAGAGGTGTTTATTGTAAATAAATATTTTTATCAAAAAATTGTTATAATTAATTCTATTAGTTAGACATTATTTAAATAACTCCATGACATTAAAGGATTATGAACATTTTAAGGCGAAAAGGGTATTATTGTCTACAATAATAATAATATCCTCCAGAACAAATTTCGGCCACGGCGGCCTGCCTCAACGGAGGCTAGCCATCGGCGCAGGACAGGATTATAGTGCCCAAGTGTATGCTCATTCTAGTGCACTCTCTATTCCCTCACTCTCATAATCCGATGGGCCGGTAAATCGACACGACCGGAGAGAGATCAGGTGCAGGACCAACGGCTTTACGTGCTTTCCGAGCCACGGGGGTGAGACACCGCCAACTTCCTGACTCCGGGCAGCTACTGAAAATTTTTTGACAGAAAAACTCAATAATTGGTTTTTTGGCCCAATCCGGGATTCGAACCCAGGACCTCACGATCAGCAGTCGCACTACCACAACCACTAGACCAACGAGGCAGTCAATTATCTACGGTACAAATGTTACGTTCACGTGGGATAGAAAATTTAAATTTTTTTTTTAATAACGAAACACTTGGTTCTATATCATATTATTTATTATATCGGGTTGACGCACTGGCAATACTACTTCCTGTTACCAATCTGTGAGATTTTGATTCGTTCAGCTTTCTTTAACATATATTAATAATAAATAATGACCAGAGTTTCTCTGCGTAATAGAATCCGTAAGGTGCGGATCAGTAAACTGATGGCAATGGACCGGCTGTAGCCCGGATTTACCTCGACGAACCGACAAATGATTGGGGTTGAACGTTCCTAAGCAGCAGCATCGTGTCAGCAAGCTGAGTGAAGGTCGACCCCCACTTGATGGTAAATTATGCAGGAGGTCGATGGATGTTGGCTCAGGATGGGGCTTTGTGGCTTTACTAGAGGTAGGGCTATGTTAGCAGTGGATTTACGAAGGGCTGTAATAATGATGACGTCGATAATAAATAATAAATAAAGTCTATTATACGTCCCATTGCTGGGCACAGGCTCTCTCTTACGACATTGTGGAAGCCCGAACAGGAGCACTGTTCGAACTTCCACATTGTCATGAGCTTTCTTTTTTGGTGTAGCCAGTAGTTAGTAACGCATTCATTTAACATTTTTATCAGATAAACAGGCATTTATAGTCAACCAAATCTAAGAGATACATTTTGACAGATGTCAGACTTATTACACTAGGCTTGCCAACCAAAAAATGGTAACGTACAATATTCGATTCTTAAAAAAATCGATATCGATTATTTAGAGTTGGTAATAATTTACAGTTTGGTTTGAATAATACCAGAATAAATTAAAAACGGATGATTTAAAACACAAGATTTATCAGTTGCTACGTATTTGTTGTTAGGTACTGCTTATTTCTCGAGGCACAGTTATAAAAATTTAAGATTATATCTAAATTAAAAATAAATTTATTCAATCACTTTCAGTACAACTAGTTGAGCTGTTGTGTGATTTTCAATAATGCAGTCAATATTAATGTATCTTGCAAAGTCATCCATAATATTTTTTTGTTTTTTATACCACTTGTGCCCAATTATTCTGAAATGGGCACATGCTTCAACGAATATTGAAGAAACAGTCCGAAAAGTTAAATTGAGTTACTCTGGCTTTTGGAGTTAGAGGTGCATAATATGTGTTATGTGTGTTGATTGGTCAAATAGCGTGCGCAGTAATCACATCGCGCAATTAATGTGTAAGTATGAATATTACTTAGTTCTGTTCGAGCGACAGATGTCGAATCGCAGTGTGCGGTAAAACCAATGCTGATTTATGTCACACTGTCACTAAATGTATTTAGATTAAGTTTCAAATGTAAATTAATTAAATTAAAAAATTAAATTAATGTGAAACGTCAAAAGGTATTTCTTAGATTTGGTTGACTTTTATAATAGTTAATGAACCATGGTCACTATATACCGACGATCGTTTTTTTTTTAAAAGAATATTGACAATGTTATAAACATTACTAATATTCCCCTTAACCACTCGTGGTAAGCTTAGATTGCTTGTGTTACGAGTGGTTCACGCCAGTAGTCGAATGGCGAATTCGAACCCACGACCTTTTTGAGTTCGCGGTCCGCGCCCTGCCATTAGGCTACTGTCGCTTATAAATTAGGAAGAAATGTTTTCGAGCGGTAGCCTCGAAGCGGAATGCGGCAAGATGGAATGAGGGATTGGTAAGAGGTACAGGAAGTCGATAGATACGAGGGTGGATTGAAAAGTACTCGGCCTAACCAAGAAAATAAACACATACTAAATCAGTTATATTTTTATTTTTCTACATAATCACCATCAAGTTCAATACACTTTTGCCACCTCCCCTTCCAAGCATTTAGACCGTTGAAAAAAATGATTCTTCCTTAGAGTCAAAATATGCGTCTACAGCTGCTTTGACCTCGTCGTTTGTCGAAAATCTTTGACCTCCCAAGTGCTTTTTTAGGTTAGGGAACAGAAAGAAGTCTGATGGTGCCAGATCAGGTGAATACGGCGGATGCGGTAACAGTTCCAAGCCACAGTTGTGAATTTCAGCCATTGACTGTACTGACGTGTGAACACGGGCGTTATCTTGATGAAACAGGACTTTTCTTCTGAGCATTCCTCGACGTTTTTCTTTTATTTCCTCTCGTAAATGACGTAGTAAGGTGCAGTAGTAATCAGAGTTTATAGTCTGACCCCTTTCAAGATAATCAATCATAATCACACCCTTCGAGTCCCAGAATACTGAAGCCATCACCTTATTTGCCGACAAAATCGACTTAGCCTTTTTTAGGGGGTGGTGAACCAGGTCTTCTCCACTGTTTTGATTGTTGTTTTGTTTCCGGTGTACAGTTATGAACCCATGTTTCGTCCATAGTAACAAAACGATTCAAAAAATCATCTGTATCGGCTTCAAATAACTCCAAACAATCGCGTGAAATAGTCAATCGCGTCCTCTTTTGTTCAACTGAAAGCAGTCGCGGAACCCACCTCGCAGACACCTTGTGGAAACCCAACTCGTTGACAATGATGTTTTGAGTTCGTTCATAAGAGATGCCTATAATCTCGGCTATCTCTCTAATTTTTAATCTGCGGTCTCCCATTATTAAATCAAGTACTTTTTTAATATTTTCGTCAGTAGTTGACGTCGAAGGCCTTCCAGAGCGGGGTTCATCTTTCACACTCTCTCTACCACGCTTAAATTCTGCTATCCATTTTTTGACGGATGAATATTACAGAGCACAATCGCTTAATGTACTGACCATGTCATCACGGATGGCTTTTGATGATAGCCCCTTCTTATGGAGGTACTTAATGACGGCACGCTGCTCGATTTGCTCCATTCGCGGAAATTATGTCCGATTACTTTGTTAATAAATTTATAAAATCACAACTAATTAACGCACACGTTTCGAACTTCACACAATGAACTAGTCTGAACTGAACTAAATAATGTGGGTAGATTTGATTTTTAGAATTGAATGGATCTGTGTTAGGCCGAGTACTTTTCAATCCACCCTCGTACAAATGGTACAAGAGTGTGCTTTATGGCATTCCTTCGGGAGAGGCTTGTGTGATGATGATGATGATTCATTTTGCAAAAGTATAAGGATTTGTAAAATAAAATTTAAGTATATTATTTTATTCATTGTTTAGATCAGTTCTCCACGCTAACGTTGTCTGGAAGAAATTACTTTCAGATTTCAGTGATAGGACCGCTTTTTGTATTGAAATTGTACACTATTCGTTTTGTCTATTGAGTAACAAACTTTCTGTAATAAATAAAGAAATTAGTATTTAGTAAATGGTAAAGAAAGGTAGCTAAAAGAAAAAATACATTACGGTGATAAATTTTGGTACGACTTAACCCATTCACTAAATTAACTATTTTCATCATTCAAAAATTCAACTTAAGGAAACGAGAAATAAAATATGGAGCTTGACCATAACTCTAATCGAACTCGACTCGAGATAATGGATCCACAGTCGACTGCTACCGTATTCATGTTCCTGACTCACGAGTGATTCGGATGAAAAATGATTTTAAACCATTATCGTGCCCCGTCCGGCCTTTTGATATTTAAATTTTTTTTCAAGCGGCCATCATTACGTCGGGATGATTTGCAAACTTCGCCCCCAGTTCGCGGTTTTTGTCAGACTTTGAACGAGTTTTTTGTCGCTCTCATTTACGATGTTTTTATTGCTACATAATGACAAATTAAAAGTGTATTGTGAAGCTCTTTCATGCTGTAATCTACAGTCTTTTCAAGGATGAAGAGCTTTTCTTCGGAGCGACAGTTTTGGATGACTTAATCATGACACGTTCAAATTTAGTCACCGTAAATTCCTTCATTAATGATCATTACTTGCACTCGTGTCCGTGACAAAGTGTTTTAAACGATCGACCAATTAAGACAAGGCAATGTTTATATATGTAAAGTTTTCTGGAGATTTCGACCTTTATATTTTACTTCAAAATTCTGGTTTATATTTCACTTTGTTATTTTCCAAGCCACAAGTTATCGGGATTTGTTGCCTAGAAAGTTAAGACATCCCTCCACCAAATGTCTTAAAATGGTACAAAATTATGAGGTTTCCATTATTATGTTTTACTTTCTGTTCCAATTTTATTAGAATACGCATGTAAGTATACTGTATTAGATATACATGAGGTGATTCGCTACCAAGCTATTTCTAATTTGTTTTGTGTTGATTAATTGTGTGACATACATGATTGTGTTTTTTTTTAAAGTCCTGCTGGGTTCCTTGCTGGTTCTTTCCAAAACAGAGATTTTTTTGTAGTTAAAGAAAAGACTGATTTCCAATAAGTAATATTTATAATCTATATTGAATAAAAAGTTTCTGTTTCTGTTTCATGTTTAAACATTATTATATATTAATTAATTCAGATGTTGGTTACCCAATCGCGTATACACGGCTTAAATAATTTT